CGGCCCTCGAGCTTTTGTACTTCGCGTACGCTCGATGGAGGCCTCATTTGCTGAATGGCATCAATTTTCTCGGGGTTCGCCTCGATACCCCTTTCAGAAACAAGAAAACCCAACAACCTGCCCACGCGAACACCAAAAGCACATTTCTCAGGATTTAATTTCATACCCGCCGCGCGTAAGTTGTCGAAGGTCTCCTGTAAGTCGAAGGCATGGTCGAAAGCCTTGCGGCTTTTTACGACGATATCGTCGACATAAGCCTCCACATTTCGCCCCAGCTGCTTGTAAAGTACCTTGTACACCAGCCTAACGAAGGTTGCCCCGGCGTTCCTCAGGCCGAAAGGCATCCTGAGGTGGCAAAAGGTGCCGAATGGTGTGATGAAGGCTGTCTTGGGGATGTCGGCCGGATTCATGTGTATCTGGTGGTAGCCAGAGTACACATCCAAAAAACTCATGAGTTCACAGCCAGCTGTTGAATCCACGAGCTGGTCAATCCGCGGCAAGAGGAAATCGTCTTTCGGGCACGCCTTGTTGAGGTCTGTGAAATCGACACACATGCGCCATTTGCCGTTCGATTTCCGCACCAGTACCGGGTTCGCTAGCCACTCGGGGTGGTCGATCTCCTGGATCACCCCAGCCTTGAGCAGCTTTTCCACTTCGGCTTTCGCTGCTTCTTGGCGATCAGCAGACATCTTGCGCAGCTTCTCTTTCCTTGGCTTGGCATCCGGCTTGACCGCCAGGTGATACATGATGAGGTCTGTCGAAACACCTCCCACTATGTGGGGCCCCAGGCGAAGATATCAATGTTTTTCTTGAGCACCTCCAGGATGTTCTCGACTTCTCTTTCGCCCATGTCGCCCCCAGCGATACAAATCTTGTGGGATCAGCATCGTCGACTTGCACCTTGATCACCCTGCCGTGGGGGGTAGGCTTCGGCACGTGCTTCGCCCGGTCGTGCGGTTCGGCCTCAACATTGTTCACCGCTCTGTTGATTGCGGCCAAATCTCCCTTTGATGAAGCCGAAGGTTGAAGCCCCTCGACCACGATCACTCCTGCAGGGCCAGGCATCTTGAGCTTGAGATAATTGTGGTGGAGATAGCTTCAAACTTGTTCAAGGTTGTGCGGCCGAAGATGGCATTATAGTTGTATGGGATGTTGACAACGTCGAACAGTATTTGCTCTTCGTGTTTGTTTTCACATGTGCGAAGGCTACCACCAATTGTGCTTGGCCTAGTACTTGAACTGCTTCTCCACCAAAACCACGAAGCGAGGCCCTTGAACTGCTTCTTTTGCCGCTTTGACAGTTGATTCGGCGGGTCGGCCCTTGTAATCACTTGGATTACTCTACGCTGCACATCTTGGCACTGTTCGGCTGGGGGTCCTTGTTCTTGAACAATTTCACGAGGTGCTTCGACAGCTGCTCCTTGTTGCGGCCTTGGATCTTGCGCATTACCATGCTGCCGAATGCTTCGGCATTGCTCGGTGGTGTCTGAAGAGCGTCCATGGAAGGTGCAGTAAAGGTCTTTTCTGACCTTCTTGTTAACGGGCTGCTGATGGCTGCTTGCTTGCTGGGCGTCGAACTCTTTGCGGAGGGCTTGAACTTCTTCAACAGCCATCACGGCCTTGCCTGCATGGTCGGTTCTAAATTTCCTCCAAGTCATGGGAGCTTGGCCTTGCCTTGGCGGTTGTCCTTAGTTCGCCGGCTGAGGCTGGCGAACAGCGAGAGGACCTAGTTCGGCGACCTGGGCTTGTACTTGGGCCTGAGCGGCGGCGACAGAGGCTTTATCATACTCGGCCTGGATTGCTTGCCGTCGCTTGGAATCCTCTTCGCCCCTTGTGTACCCGTCAATGATGCTAAGCAGGTGCTCAAGTGTCTGCGGCTCCTTGTTGGCGATTTTTCTTGTGAGTTCGCCCTCGAGCAGCCTGGCCGAAGCAGCGTTGAGGACGGACGCCTCAGTTATGTCCTGAACTTGACATCGGGCTTGTGAGAAGCAACGCATGTACTCCCTTATTGACTCCCCTGGCCTCTGGCGAATGCCGAGTAAATGTTGCTGTGTCTTCGGTTCCTCATAGGTGCCTTCGCCTTCGTATTTTTGTCACCATGAGCGGCTTCGATCGCGGACTCGTACATGGACAGGAACTCTTTTGGGTCCGTTTCGCCCGAATAGCGCAGGACGAGTGGAAACTTGAACTGAGGTGGGATTGGACGGATCTTGATTCCCCCGCTCAGTGGTAGCCCCTTTTCGTCCCCCGCCTTACCCGCGGCACCCTGCTGCGGATATGGCGTGGCGAAGGGCGAAGTCATGGCTTGCGCATGAGGTTTAGCCACAGTGCAGGGCTGCCCGGCTCCGAACGGTGACGCTTGGTGAGCCGCCATGGATAGATCGAACGACGGTTGGGTCCATGCCATGGCGACCTGGTTTGGCACCTGGTTTGCTCCGAAGCCTGGTGTCGGTGCATGTGGTCGAATGGTTGGTGCTTGAGCAGCGTTGATGAAGTCAAACTGCAGTCCTTGACTCCAAGGCGAAGCCCCCGGACCAGGCTGGTTCGACGGCAACCAACTGGGTGCACCTTGACTTGTGTTCCCCTCCGGTCAGGCCGAAGGGGCTGTACTTGAAATGCTGTAGGGTTGGCTGAGTTGCTGAAGGAAAGCTTGAAGCTGCGCCTGCAAAGCCGTAGCCCCTTCCGCCATTACTTGTGACACTTGGCCAGGTGGTGGGGGGTGTACTTGGGCAGCGACCGGCCGAGCCTGCGGCCACACATGAGGGACCGAGTGTATTGCTGCGGCCGAAGGCTGCCCGGCGAAGTACATTGGCGCTTGCATGGCTTGTGACGGAAGGGGCTAGATTGATGCTTGTGGGTGGACTTGGGGTGGAATGTAGCCCGCCGAATACTGGAGGATTGGGGCCGAAGTGACCTTGGCCTGCCGTGCTGCCTCGTACGCCTACTGCTGTTCTTGCATTTGGCGAAACATGTCTTGGAGTCGTGTCATGTTTTGGCGCATGGCCTCCATGTCGGCTTCGGCCTGTGCTTCGAGGTTGGGGTTGACTTGTGCAGCGGCGAGCGCGGTCTAAGCCGTTGCCGGCTGTGACGAAGCGGCTTGGGGCACCGGCAGCAGGCTTGTCGAAAGGATCTCTGCCCCGGTCTGGAGCGCCCTTGCCGCTGCGGCTGCTTTCGCCGTGTCGACCGTGTTTGGCCCCTGCCCCGACGAAGCGGCAGGAGCCGAAGGTGGTAGTTGCGGCGCGGGTGCCGAAGCCGATGGTGCTCCCCCAGCATCGGCGATGGACGTCGGGGGCTCTGCTCCCTCCTCGGCGGCCATCTCCTCTCCTGCTTCGCTCTTCTTTCGCTTTGCAACCTTCTCCTTCACAACCCTCTTTGGTGGCATTCGCTCTTAGTGGTTTCGCTCGGAGTTCCCCACGGTCGGCGCCAGCTATTGTCGAAATGACAATCGCTTACGTCGAAAGACATGGCTACTCAACAGTGGTTGAAAAACGGTGAAGTGTATTACATTGAGAATTTTTCTTCGGATCCCCTCTTACATGGCCCTAGGGGTCTATTTATAACCCTATTATAGGTTCCCCTGTTAGGGTTTAGGTTTTACAGGGGAATTTACATGGTTGCCGTTATGAAAGTGACATTTATATGGGTATATAGTGTAATTGAGGTACATGAGCCTCTAGTGGGCCGACTGGCGAACGCTGGTCCAGTGGCCCCCGGGCTTGATCGGCTGAGATGGCCTCTTGGGCCTCCTTGAAGTTAAACTTGTTATGGTGAAGCCATCCGCCTTCGTCATACAGTCTTCGCCCAAGATGCCTCCAACCTTGTGGGATACCAGCGCGATCCTTCGCCCTTCGCCGTCTTTGCTTGATAGTCTTCGCCATGGGGACTTCGCCCTGACGGACGACAAGTATATATATATTTTAGAGCTCAACCTGTAAGCTCATCATGTATATATGTATATATGTATGTATTAATTATTTTTATAATATATAATGTGGCGTTCATCATGTATTCCGTAGCAAAGTGTGGGGTATCAACTAGTATATGTATATATGTGTGTCGTTCGCTTAAAACGATGTCATTTGTTCTATTTACATTTTATAATTATTATTTTTCATCATTTAATATGGGTGTTCTTGGGGGTGGTAACCTAGTTATCACAAAAATCTTGGAGCCTGTCATTAGTCACGGAACCTTGGTTGCATATGAGGGTGGGTTTAAAAGCTTGAATAAGCACTGTCATCTTTCGGTATATCTAGAGCTGAAAAAGTACCAAACACATCATATCGGCGCAGCAGATCAAAAGAGAGGTTGGCCACTCATCGGCTGTTGTTACTTGTTGCCCTGCTGGTGATCGATGCTGGGTAACTACACCCAACCCCTACTGATATCATATACTGCGTTCTTTCTTCTTCTCAACAGTGATTACGGAAAACGGAGCGATCCATTAGCACATGATTAATTAAGTATCTGCTATTCTTTTTAAAAAAAATGGACTAATATGATTTTTTTAAGTAACTTTCGTATAGAAACTTTTTACAGAAAAATGCACCGTTTAGTAGTTTGAAAAGCGTGCTAACGGAAAACGAGGACGACTAGCCTGAAAAGAACGCAGCCATAGAGTACAATTGATTCAATTCTAGAGCAGCAGACACTACACCTAGTATTCATGGCACTTAACTGCTGGCAATAAAATGAAGTTAGTGGCGAACTATTTGCCAGGAATACATCAAGTGCCGGAAATAATCTTAGACATCATCTCATTTGCCGGGAATTAAAAAAATAGGGCAGCAAATTAAGTGCCGACAATGAACTAATATAACAGGTCAATTGATATGCCATAGATAATTTAAGACAACACATAATCTGCCGGGAATTTTGTTACCGGGAAAACAAATTTCCATGGTTAAGATAGAGTGAGGTGAGAGCTCGGGTGGCAAATTTTTTCCACGACAAAAAAAAATCCAGCCAAAAAAAAATTGACGCCAAAAAAAAAACCTAGGCGCCGCCACCTCGTGCCCCCTTCCACCGCACGCGCCTCTCTCACCATCCACCGCACGCACCGCCGCCTCCTCCGCCAAATCCACCACGCGCCGCCTCCTCCTCCTCTCCCACCGCGCGCAGCCCCCTCGGTCTCACCCACACCACCGCACGCCGCCGTCCACCCAAATCGGTCGCCGCACCTCCACCAGCCGGCCGCCCACCCAAACCATCCCCTCCTCCCCACCTCCGACTCGACCCAATGCCTTCCCATCTCCTCCGCCGACTCCCCATCGCCTCCACCTCCGGTGCCTGCCTCCACCTCCTCTTCTGACATTAAGGAAGTCCCCTTATTCAGGTAAAAATCGAATCTCTTGGTTATCTGTGTTTTTCTTTTTACAACCTTGCCTTGTGATTTACTCAATTTGTCTGCATATAGGTGCTTTCGTGATGGATTTGGAGGGGAACTTGTAGCCATTAGTTGCTTAAAAGTCGAGGGTAACTAATTGACCAGCATTTGTTCTGTACTTTAACGAATTTTACACCGATTGCAACCAGAATTTGTTTCGGGTGTTAGAATTGGGAGAATGACAAGGGAGGTAACCATGAATCTTAGATCAACAAGGTAACCATGGTGTTGTTTGAGCTAATGAACAGTTTTCCCTTAGCACTGCATGTTTTTTACCTGACATATACTTGTTGGCCGATAGGCCTGGTTAGCCTGTGATTCACCTGAATTAGTCTGCAAGTAAGTATGCTGCATCGGCCAGATTGGGCTACCAGCTCACTAATTTTAGCACATGTCTTGATCCGAAACAGTGAACCATGGGATGCTCTTTGGCAGCTTGTAACTCTGAATATGTAGCTACATACATGAAAATAATTCAGAGATACAGTAGTACAAAGATTTCACCTGAATTTTTTCAGAGCTATCTATGTTCTTGTAGTTTTCACCTGAATTCTGATACCTTTAATTAGAATGTGGAGATTTCGTCTTCACTCCCTGAATATGTGTATCATGGTAGCAATGACTCCTAAAGCGTTAGGACTAAATACTTGTGTTAGCCAAAGTTACACACATGAGGAACCCTCTGTCTTGTATGTCTACATATAAGTATAATGCACCTTATATACAAGCTACAAATTGTTTTGTTATATCTCTGCCCTGCATATAGCATGTTGGTAATTTAGTTGTCTTCATCGATCAATTTCGTTTGCTTATAAGCTATGCTCATGGATGAATATAGTTTTTTTTATAGGAAGTTGATTTGTTTCAATATAGTCATTCATGTAAGTACGGTAACCTGTTGTACTCCTATACGTAAGGATTTCGTTAAATGTTATGTTGATCTGGAAATGGGCAACCACTTAAATGTTCAAGTACTCTGTACCTAGATTGATATCCTGGGAGCTTCTTGAAATTATTAACGCAAGCATTTAATTTTAAGTCAGCATTATAATCTATTTCTAAATGTGAACTATTTGGCTTTATGGTGCAGTTTAGTGGTCCACTATCGATTTTTCTACAATCAACCTACGTTGTTGACCATCTACCCAGCAGGAGATATAAAAAACACAATAGGTTAGCATCATCCAGCATACCATCAGTACTGTGCTAAAAGTCCGAAATGTTATATCTATGTGTTAAGTTTTCCTTGTGCAAAGTCTTTTTATTCTTTTTCCCATGAGCACAATGGTTTGTACTCGACGCGTAGAAAACACGATTGAAACACATAATAATTTAGGTGACCTGTGAAATTTGATTGTTAGCTATAGATAAGAGATGGATGGACCTTCCTTGGTACAATTCTACCTGATAATTAATGTGGCGTAATGGTTTTTTTTCATTCATTCATCTTTCTCTAAACTTTCATAAAAAAACTATAGGCACACATCTGAATACACACAAGGGGTCAAAGAACTTATACAGTATGCTTGTGATTTCCCATCTCACACTATCCTTGTGATATTATATTGTCTGTTCGATAGACTGTTAACCTGGACAGTCTGAAGTGTTCCCTATTGGTACTACATGATCAAGCACCCTCAATAATATACATTGATTGCATATATAGCTATTTTGTTTCTTTGATCTTGGCCAGTTTGCATGGTGTCTTGTCAGTTTGTGATCAAGAATGCATTTATATTATGATAGATGGTTCTCTTTATTCTACATGCAAGATTGCTCACAGATTCCAAACCATTATTTTTAGGTCATAACCGGAAGGGCTACTGAAATTGTTCTGCTAAAGGTGTAACTTGTCCCTGAAATTGTCCATTGAAGATTTTTTGCTGAAATTATTTTTGAATGAAGACCTGCTAAAGATATCACTTGTCCCAGAAACAGACCTAATAAAGATATCACTTGTCCATTGAAGTTATCTCTGTATTTATATTATTTGGAAGAGATGTCACTTACAGTTAATGAATGCTAAGAATTATTTGTACTCTTGTATGGATATGCTCTATGCAGAGGCATGTATATATTGCTCCTAGATGCAACATAATTGTTACTCATGAATTTGTTATTTCTGAAACTGTGGTATGGAACCCTACAGTGCAATATTTTCTGCAGTGTGTTGATGTATCTGTGCAATCTGAAATTTTTGCAATCTGTGCAATCTGTGCAGCCTGAATTATTGAATGCATGGTGAATTAATGCCTGTGCAATCTGAAATTTTTGTTCTATTTTACAAACCATACAATTGATTTGGTGCCAGCAAAACCTATAACTGCCAGTGATGCTTGAATGATGTGCTGAGGGTGTTTGAAGCATCTAGGGCATTTAACTGCCGGTAGTTTGAACATATGCCGGGGAAGCTAAAGTTGCATCTACGGCAGTTAACTGCTGAGGATTTGGTACCTGCCGGCAAAGGGCATTCCCGACAGGACTTTGTAGGGCAGTTAGCTAGTGCCGGGAATGCTTTTTCCGGGGGAATATCCAGTGAAAACCATCAAATAAGTGAAAACCCGTGAAAACCGCATCTAAAAGTTTTGTAAATTCATGAAAAAATTACTAGAGATAGGTATAGGCATGAAATACATTCATACCAAATCTCATGTTCAAACTCAACTTCATTTGAGAGAAACAAAAAAGACTAACACTATTCACCCGAAATTTGTTTTTTTTGTTTCTCTCAAATGAAGTTGAGTTTGAACATGAGATTTCGTATGAATGTATTTCATGCCTATACCTATCTCTAGTAATTTTTTCATGAATTTACAAAACTTTTAGATGTGGTTTTCACGGGTTTTCACTTATTTGATGGTTTTCACCGGATATGTCCCCGCTTTTTCCTGCCACAAAAACAACTTTCTAGGGCCGATACACTGCTGTAGACACTATGTCATGGTGTAGTGAGAGCTAGGAATTTAGCCTATCCATTCAAACTGTCGATGCCAACACTGCATGTTTCAATTCTCTAAAAGATAACATAAAGTTCAGGAATTGCTAAACAGTCCAGAGGCTGTTGTCAATTAGGCCATAATACATTGTAATAGAACCATGACTGGATAATTTCTTGCTTTTTAGGCACCAATCAATTTGTAATGCAATCATGTCTGAATAATCTCATGTGATATCTGATTGTATGCATGTATGAGTGTAAGAAATTAATGAGTGTATAGGGGTGGGCAAAATAGATCGAGACAAAAGATACAACCCGAATAGACACCAGTAGAAAAAGGGTTTTTCATGGCGGCACCCTATTTTTTTTTGTGCTGGTGGCCCTTTGCGCGCTCTGCTTGCAAAATTGTAACGAGGGGTGGAGGGTTAAGGACCGCCAGTGATGTGGAGCTTATGGGTACCATATACCCACAAGACTAGGTTATCCGACTAGTTACACATGATGACTTATGTTAATGAATATTCATAGGACAAGGAGTATTATGTTTACTTGTCTATCAAGAAATATCCCGTAGTTTTAGTCGGTTACTATTGTAAAGTAGATTTAGGACTCTAGACCGTAAGGGATAGAATCTTGTATTGTAATCCTAGCTCTTCCGACTATATAAGGAGGGGCTAGGGCACCTCTCGGGGTATAACTTCACCCAAGATTTACAGATCAATAAAATAATTGGCGGATTACAACCCTGGACAGGAGTAGGGTATTACTTCTCATTAAGAAGGTCTGAACATGTATAAATCATTTGTCACCTAACCCGTTCACTTTTCCTGCTTGTTTGCAACCCTCGTTTAGTTTTGTCGTAATCTAGTTTCAACAGTTGGCGAGCCAGGTAGGGGAAGCATCAAGTTTTTCACAGACTAGTGTGATGGGATCTGCATCAGGCATTGATGATTTCGTCTTCCCTCTAGGGCAGACGTTCCGCTTTGGCAGCCTCAACTTCATCACAGATTAGCTTCGGCAAGATGTCTCTTCTCGATTCGGATTCAAACTAGCCGGGAAGGGATGGCGGCTCGGCTCCGTTCGGGTTACCGAACTCGGCTAAGATCTACTCCAAGATTGTTTCCCCCGAGTTGGCTTCAAACCGCTCGGACGAGATTCCCGAGATTTCTTCACCTTCGTCAAGATTCTCATCAAACTCTGGTTCACCAATCTTCCCTCCAATCAGCATGCGACTTCCAGACAACCTTGCAACGATATTCGGATCAAGATCGCCTTCCCCCCGTAGGTGTCGATCTAGTCGGGCTTCGGTTTAGATTGAATCAGGCTTCAGTGAGTTCAGCGTTATTCTTCAGCCACTCGGATCGTGCTCATCTACGGATATTGATGAGTACCTCAGCTCTACTAGCGCTAGCTCCTACACCAACACCGTGATCATCGACTATGGTGACTTCGACGATGAATATGACTTCGACAACTTCGACATGTATGATGGTTACTGAAGACTATGAAGACTACAACGACTTCGATGACGACTACACCCCACTCTTCTACCTCGTCTTTATGGCTGACCAAGAGACACCTGAATAGCGGGACGGACACCTGCCGAGGAAAAACGAGTCTGACTGGAGCGCAAGCGCCAAGAGCAGGAGCGACTTGATTGGAGCGGGAACGCCAAGAGCAAGAGTGCAGACAGAAGGAGAAAGAAAAGTGCAGATTGAAGGAAGATGAAGACCGGAGATAAAGAGATCTGATTAATTCAGGACGACGTGTTTGGCAACTCATTGCCCAGACCGTCATTGATGACACCAACGTGTTCCTTACCCAGCAACAGAATGCAGTCAAAGCCATTACTCTCCTCGACACACTCATCCCTACTGCCCCGTATCACATCACTCCCACTCTCCACAAAATGAACACCATGATAGCGGCGACGATTCCGGACAACTCGGCTGGCAGTCGACAGCCCACAGCTTCGCTACTGTTAACAACGGAATTTTCCATCAGATTCGGAGAAGAAGGAGCGAGATCGAAGCGGATTTGGTATTGAATTGAGTTGAATTTGGAGTCAGACCGCGCATCGGCTAGATACCGTATCGGCTAGAAACAAAGTTAAGGTTGATCCAGCCGATAAGGCAAAGTAACCGATAAAGCCGATACGAGGTGATTTGGGCTCGGCATGGGCCTAGATTGGAATAACCGTCATTGCCAATTAGAGATAAAGCTTAATTTAGGCAATTGTATCTATTAATTAGGATATTAAGTTTGTTTGTTTTAGATTTTGCAAGAGACCGCCATATATGGTCTTGTTTGTATTTCATCTTTAGAAAGGTTTGAGTCGTGTCTATAATAGACTCAATTTTGTACGCGGGGTATAGATATGAATCCCGTAGCTCTGTAATACAGCAAACAATCCAATACAATTTCGGCGCATCGCCACCCTTTTATTTTTCTTCGCTTTCGGCGAGTTCTTCGCGAGAGGTAACCCGTGTCGATGGCTCGTGCTATCAGGGCTAATGTGTCACTTTAGACATGTTAATCTTGTTATTATTAGTCATTTCTATCATATGTCTTAGCTAATCTAGTCTTAGTACTTCGATTTAGCTCGATCGGCTGCTACTCACTTTAGGGTTAATGCCAGTATCGGTTAAATCGCCTTACTAGATTAGATTAGCTAAGGCATCTACCATCCTGAAAAGTGTTTAATTGCTTGATTGTCTAGACTCTTGGTTTCTTTACACACTTTGCGATACATCATCCCTAGTCCTGCTTTGAACCCTAGAAACTAGCCTGCAATTAATCATAATAAGGATAGTGCTGGAGTTTCAGCGGATCTTACCTAATATGCATGCTTCTTTATATGTTTCATGTATATGCGCCACTTATATACATGGATCGTTTTATATAAACATATCAAGTTTTAATCAATATCGGCTAGATCTATGTGCTTTCATGCTTGATTATTATTTGACATGTTTCTATAGATCAATCTGTCTATATAAGTTTGTGCCAAAGTACTAGCTAGCACGTTATCTTTTCTCGCCCTAAACATTGCTCTATCGGTTATTTCTATGATATCGGCCAAAATCTGTTTCAACTCCAATAGACGATATCACAGCCGATATGGTGTTTTTAGGGTTTTACTTGATTTCACTTATCAATCTATGGCCGATATGATCATGTTGTATCGGCTAAGCCCTCTATCAATACGTCAACGTCCTATCGGCCGATCGGCTAACTATGTTTTCATGTTTCTTGTTGGTTGTAGGATCAAATCAGCTGGCACGCCGTAAGAGAGCACTAGGCAACCCTTTGACTTGAAGTGGAGTTAAGCAGATCTCCAAGGTCGTCGTGTTTTTCTAGGAACACGCTTTTGGCACGCCCAGTGGGACAAAGGCTTTGATTCATCATGTCGCTAACTTAGCTTGATGGCGGCAATGTCATCCCCGTCAAGATTGAAGATCTTTCTGATGAGCAGGAGGCAGAGATGGAGCAAACCATGCAGTAGCTGAAGGAGGTGTACCTTAATTCTTTCACTGTGACTCGGCAAGGCACTGTAGTATAGAAGACTAAGTTTCAGATGCCGAAGCAAGAGGGAGAAGGCTTATCTGGTGCTAAAGATGAGCCAAAACTAGATGATAATGGTACTGAAGAGTTGCTGACACTACAAGATCTTATTGACTCAGCCGTGCACCATGCTTTAATCAATCAATCTGGTGTGATGGTCAATACACTGACTAATATGATCAAGTCTGTGGTTGATGGATTAACTGTTGAGCATAAAATTACAGGGCCAACTTATCTCCAAAACAATGTTTCCCACAATATAGAGACGTCAAGACCAATTTGGGAAGTGGCCAACCTCAAGTCAACCCTGCATCGGCTCCAAGAACAACAGTACCTTCGACAACAACCAATCAAGTGCCGGTTTCAGGGGTTCAAATTTCCAATATTATTCCTCCAGAGCAATTGATTCAGTTTTTGACGATGCAGCCTGGTGGAGAAATAAGGACATCGACAACTGTTAGTATTTCTTACGACCACAGATAAATCCGCGAGCGCACGGAATACTGTTGTAGCACTTCACCTTCGGGTGACCAAAAAGGATATCTAACTTAGGGAACGAGTGTAGTGTACCTGAGGCTAAGACTATCCAAGGACAACAACTATTGGTAGGCTAGCTAGGCTAGAGTGAACTTTCTATGTGTTTTTAATTATCTAATTTAAGTT